CACCGTACCTGCTGTAAGCTCAGCAGCAGGGTGCGAGCCCACTCCTGCTGGTCGATCTGCCGGGTGCACTTCAGCGTCTCTTTGATGATGTCCCCATAGTCGCTGTAAAACTGGAAAGGAGAGGACAGGGCTGTGTCCCCATGCCATCGCGGGGCCAGTGGGACAGCCCTCCCGTGCACCCTTTACCTTGGCGTAGTGCTTGAAGACGTCGGAGGCAGCGCTGAGCTCCAGCACGCTGTAGATGATGAGCTTGCAGAAGCCGGCCAGAAGCACCCGACGCTGGTGCAGCTCCTCGATGCGGCTCTCGCCATCCTCTGTGAAGACAGGAGGGAACGGTGCGGGGGACAGGCATCCCGGAGGACAGTCCTGGGATGCGTGGAGGGGACGTACCCGTGGCCGAGAGCTCCTCGTGGCTGCAGGCGTGGTGGAAGACGTGGTCCATGAGGAAGGCGGCCAGCTGGGACTGCAGCCCCGCGTCGGGCAGCAGCACCAGCGGGGCCAGCGCCTCCCGCCCATCCTGTGGCAGCTGGGGCCCGAACACCAGCAGCAGGTCGCTGAGCACCACGAAGGCCTGAAGATGCAAGGGCAGGCTCGGTGCCAGGCCTGGACCCCCCTCCGCGTCCCCCCGGCCCCTGCATACCTGCTGCTGGACGCCAGCGTCCATGTCAGACAGGCAGCTCTGGCACAGCGAGCAGCAGGTGACGACTCTGGTTTTCAGGCTTTGCAGCTGCTCCTGGGCAGGGGCACGCGGTGGCCTTTAGGGACATGAGAGCTGCCCCAAGTCATCCCCGGGGCTGTCCCTGTGCTACCTGCTCACCTGAGGGATGTTGGTACTGGGCAGGTGTGAGAGCTCCCAGAGGACGTGGAAGTGGAGGCAGGTGATAGCGGGGACAAGGACCTGTGGGGGCAGATGAGGGCAAGGGACGGGCATGGCACTGAGGAGCCACATGCCCACCAGGTCCCCAGGGCGGTACCTGCGGGGGCACCTCGCCTGTGTCCACAGTGTGCTGCACGAGCTGGGCGCAGGGCTCAAACAACTGCCACAGCGTCAGGTCGTGGGCGCTGCAGGGACACAGCAGCATCAGCAGGGCGAGGGGAGATGTGGGGCAGGAGACAGGACACTGGGGGACAGAGACACGGGGAGCACATGGGGCAGGGGACACACAGAGCAAGGAACAGGACACTGGGACACGTGGGAGAGGGACAGGCACGTGGAAGGGGACAAGGACACAGGGGGGCCCCTAGGGGTGCGGGTGGAGGGGTGGTGAGGCCCCACAGCTCCCCACTCACTTGAACAGGGCTGAGATCCTCTTCAGTGTGGCCGCCATGCTGTACACCTCCTCCTCGTCCAGGGACGAGGCCTGGGCAGGGCCCAGGGTTGGGGACACCCCATGCAGGGTTGGGGATGCCCCATGCAGGGTTGGGGACGCCCCATGCAGGGTTGGGGACCCACGTCAGGCTGGGAACACCCTCCTCCCCACAGCTCCTCGCCACTCTCCCACCCAGCACCTCCTGGACACCTTCCCTGCCGATGTCCCGTCTCTGCCCAGGCCACCGCTCCACCTACAGGTTTTGGTCCCTCTCCTGTCCTCAGCCCTGTCCTGGCGCCAGGTCCCCATCCCCAGCGCTATCAGCCCAAGCTCCATCCCAGGCGCCAGGTCCACGTCCAGATCTTCAGGTCCCTGTCCTGGCCCCTGCGGTCCCCAGCCCCAACCCGGACTCAGGGTCCCTCTCCCGTCCCCTCTACCTGGAGCAGCTCGGCCACCTCCTGGTGGAACTTGTCAGCCAGCTGGTCGGCCAGGCGGCTGCGCACCAGGTCCCCATGGCCATGCAGGGTGAGCTCGGGGTCACAGAGCACGTGGAGCGTGCGGGACGCGGCCTCCAGCACCGCCTGCCCCGTGTGCTTCTCCACCACCTCCTGCAGCTGCGCCAGCACCAGCTCCAGGTGCTGCGGGGAGAGGGGGCTGCCAGGGCGACGGGGACACGCTGCCTCCCCAGGGACGAGGGTCACGGGGCTGCCCACAGGGACAGACGCCCCCCCGCCACCCCGGAGAGGGCAAGGACGGCCCCTTGGCAGGGGGCACAGGACACACGGCCTCCCAACGGGGACACCTGGGCACCCTCAGGCATCCCGTCCCTGCAGACCCATTTCCCAGGGGCCGAGCGGCTATGCCCCAGCCCCGGGGGCCAGATCCTGCCCGGGGGGTCAGGGGGCAGAACCTTCTCCAGTCGCCCGGTGCAGTAGATGCTGAGGTCGAAACAGCGCGGCACCTCAAGGAGCAGAGCCGCCTTCTCAGCATCGGCCGAGAACTGGGGGGCAGCGGTGGGGAGGTATCAGTGCCAACCCTCCTCAGGCCCCTGGGGGTGTCGGGGGGCCCAGTCCCTCTCACCTTGGCCAGCAGCTGGGGCAGGGCCGGGACAAGGCAGTGGGTGAGCCGGGTTCTCTCCTCCACCTGCATCTTCCGCTCACGGGCCGAGGGCTGGAGGCAGAAAGGGGGCTCAGAGCAGCCTGGGGGGGCCCCTGTCACCTCGCCAGCACCCTTCCCAGCCCTGTCACCTTCTTGGCTGGTCCACGGCCCACCGGGGGCTGCCCCTCGGCTGCCTGGACCACGCTGGCTGCCAGGATCTCCACCAGTGCCTTCTCCTGCCTGTCTCCCAGGCCTGGGGAGAGGAACGAGGTGTCTGGGGGGCGGCCTGGCACCCCCTTTGATGTGCCAGAGGGTCCCAGGGCATCCTAACAAATCCCAGTATGTCCCCTGACCACCCACCAGCACCCCAGCAATGTCACAGCACAAGCCGGTAGCATGCGAGCACGTCCCCCAGTATGCTGTAGTGATGCCTCAGTGCCTCCCTATCACATCCCAGCATCTCTCAGAGATGTCCCACAGCAGCTCCAGTGTCTCCCAGTGACATCCCAGTACATTGCAGCAATGCTGCAGCGTCTCCCGTGTTCTTTCAATATATCCTAGTGCATCCCAGCATCTCCCAGTGCGTTCCAGCAACCTCCTTGGATACCACAAGGGTGTCCCAGGGTGTTCTAATGCAGCCTACTTGCTCTCAGCAAGATCCCAGCATATCCCAGTATCTCCCAGTGACATCCCAGCATATCCCACTGTCTCTCAGTGATGCCTCCGTGGTGTCGCAGCATGTTCCAGTGTCTCCTGATGGTGCCATACCCTCAGCAGGCGACTCCTCCAGCAGCAAAGCGCTGATGGTCTCCCAGTCCCGCAGCCTTGGCCCGGCACAGTCCCACAGGCTGTCCACCAAGTAGGCTGCATGCTCGTGGAGCTGGGGATGGGGGACAGGGACCGTCAGGGCAGGCAGGGCCGCCACCCCGA